GCCCCTCCGCAACGGCCGCGCGCGGGGGGCTCGGGGAGGCGGGCAGAGGGGAGGTGGGTCCGCGGCGGCGGCCGCTAATTGCGACCTCGGCCTCGCTAATGAGCTCGCCGCGCTCCAGCCCGCGCCCCCTCCGCAGCAGAAAGCGCCTTTTTTTTTTTTTTTTCCTGCAATTGGTTATTGGGTTTCGAATCCACTCCAGCTCCGAGAGGGCAGGTTAGAAACACTGCCGCGAACGCTTGCGTAAATCCTCATGGAGGCAGAAACTGCACGGAGCGACAAGAGGTGCCGTGCGCGGCCGGGTGCCCCGTCGAGCTGCATCGCTGTCCAATGGTCCTCCAGGCCCAGCGAGGGGGGATGCCCCTGGGTCACCCTGCAGCTGCCCAGACGGGGAGAGGGGAAACACACACACGTAAAAAGCCCCAGCAGAAACCTCTATCGAAACGTACAGGCAGCGCGAACGTATTTATACTGGGCAATCTTGCAAGCACCGACATTGTTTAAACAATTCTCTTCTGCTTTGGACGATATTATCAGTACTTTTACATTATCGTTCTATGGAAAAACATTCTTCTTTTTCCTTCTTTCAAATATTTATTTAAAAAACTTAAACTCCACCGCCTGAATGTTCTGGCAAGTAAATAAATTCCAGGAACGGTGGAGGAAAATGGCCATGGCGTTTGGTTGAAATCGAGAACCTGCCTTCCGAGGGACAAGCGGCTCCAGTCAATATGATCTTATTATTCATCGATTCACATAAGATATAAATATACTGAGCTCATGAGTGTAATAATTTGCGTCTTTTTTTTTTACTAGAGGAAATTCAGCTATTTTAAGAGTTAATAGTTCTAAATGTGTTGGTTTTCCTGCATTCTCCCTAGAGGTGACTAGTCTGGAAAGGAGGGGGGTCTAATTTGGGGGTTTCATTGTTTTTGCTTTAATTCCGCTGAAATCAGCCTAAAGCAGCTGACCCGAGCGCGGGGTAATACACCAAGCAACCAAGCCCCTCGACACCCAAAGGTCAGGTGAGAGCCGCCAGCAGGTAAGTCTCGGGTCGGCTGCTTGCCCAGCTCCCTCACTCTCTCAAATTGTTCCCTTCTGCCCACCCAAGTCGCTTCAAGCTGTGTTTATTTAGGGGGCAAAAAAACGCCGACCACCCAAATCCCATTCAGCGGGAGACCTTGCGAGTTCTCTCCGGTAGCTGGAACCACCTCCCTCCCCAGTCCGAAAAAAAAAAGAAAAGAAATATAAGAAATATCTATCTATCTATATATATATAATTGCTAATAGTTTGTGGCACACGGATACCAGGGCGCCAATTTTGGGCTTTCGAGAGTGGCCGAGGTGCGGCACAAGAAATGCCCCCAGCCCGCCTGGGGATCGCACGGCTGCGCCTCCTCGGCCCAGGCCATTGGGTAGTGCGAAGGCTCTGGACTTCCCGTGGAGATCCACCCTGACCCTGCTATCAGGGACCAAAACGGTGCCACAACATGAGGA